AAGCAGCAGCAGCAGGCGAGCAGCAGGGGAGCAGCAGGGGAGCAGCAGGGAAGAGAAGAAGAGCAGCAGCAGCAGCAGAAGCAGGGGAGGGGAGGGGAGGGAAGAGAGGGCAGCAACAAAAGCAGGCAGTGCAGGCGCGGCCCGGCCGGCGCCCCAGGAACGGCCCCCGGAGGCCCGAGCCCCCTCCCGAGCCAAGCCCTGGTCCTTCTGCCGGCGTCGTGGCCGTGGCGGAGTTGGCCCTCGGGCCGCGGAGACGTCCCTGGGACGCAGGAGAGCTGCGGGGCGGCGATGCGGGGGGGGGTTTGGCATAGGGGGGGATGCATCGACCCGGAACCGGCGATGCATCGCCGATAGATCGGCGATAGGACCCCGACAGCGAGTCCGAACCTTGCTGTGCAGGTTGGGGCGATCGGGCCCCTGTCGGCGATCAATGGGCGATGGGGGGTCGATGCATCCCCCCCTTGTGCCTATCCCCCCCCTCCTTATCGCTGCCCCCGGAGACCATGCCAGCACCATGAGCTCCCCTTGGTAGCGCACGCCTGGACCGAACACGTCGCACCAGCGTGGGCACCTCGCTGCCCCAGGCGGCATGGGCAGCAACCGCCCGCCACGGAGCACACACCGGAAGACTTCTCCGCGCGCGCTCGCCGCCCCTGGTTGAGCAGGGACCGACCGTCCCAGCATTCCTATAGTCCTACCACGAAATGTTCTTAGAACCCAACAATGTTCAAAGAACAAAAACAATGTTCTAAGAACATACACCCGATGTGTTAAAGCAAAACCATCTCAACCCGAAATGTTCTAAGAAAATTCAGTGGAAACCACGAAAAAGGTTCTTAGAACATTGTCTGGTGGGGCTATAGGCGAGCCAGGACGCTCCGCCACTGCTTGCCCCTGGGGCGCAGCTGCACGCCCCGTGGAAGCCTTCTACGGAGGCTGCCCTCCGCCCGCCGCGCGCCGCCCTGCGCCCGCGCGGGCCTGCGGGCCAGCGCGACGAAGGGATGCGGCCTGGGCGCCTTCGGAGCCCTCGCTCGCCCCAGTATACGGTTCCGTCGGGCCTGTTCCCCCTGCAGGCCGATTTCGGACGACCATTGCTTTTCAAAAATAGTCAAACAATACCGTACAGTACCCAAAAATGGTCCAAAACATCGTCCCAAGACTAGTTTGGGACTATGTTTGAAAATTCCTCCTGCATAGGGACAGGCCCGACTCAACAGCACGGGGGAACCCCTGCCCGGCCGCGCGCGTGCCGCACGGTTCGAGGCTCCAGGTTTTCGGACGCTGTCGCAGATTTCCACCCAAGTATTGTCTGGCCTCGGGGTCTCTCTGCAGCGACCGCGCCTCGCCGACGGAGCTCCGAGGGCGCCTGGATCGCCCCGAGCATGTGAACGCCAGCCTCTCGGGGCCGCAGGGTCGTCAAGAAACGGCTCGGGACGGAACACCAGCCCTGGGGAAAGGGTCACGACTTTCAAGGACTCGTTGCTGAACAACTCGAGAGACAGCGTAAGTTTCAAGGAGGAGGGGGAGGAGGAGGAGGAGGGAGGAGGAGGAGGAGGAGGGAGGAGGAGGAGGAGGAGGAAAGCCTGTGCGCGCAACTGACGTCCGTCGCTCCCCGCCGTCAGCCGACCGCCTGCCGGCCCCAGCTCGCCGCGGATCCGAAAATGGCTGGGGAGATCCCCCATCCTTGCCTGCTGGCTTTCAGTGGTATTTGGTGTACCCTTGGTATTTCGAGTTCTCCTCCTCCTCCCCCTCCTCCTCCTCCTCCTCCTCCTTCCTTCCTTCTCATTTACTTACCGACTTCCGTATTTACGTATACAGTTCTGACCACTTACATGGGTCTCCCCCCTCTCACTGGGGTCGGGGTGGGTGGGCGGGGGGGAGGGCAAGGGGGGGGGATGACCAGGGGGAGATTGACGTCATGGCCGGGGCCATGAGATCTCCCCATATGTCCTGCCCCCCTCTTCCTGTCTCAGCACGTCCTTTGCCCCACCCCCTCCTCCCCTCGGTCGCACACTTGCCTCGGGTGATGACTTGCGAGCCCTCTCTCGAAAGCGCCCGACCAGGTGGAAGGCGGGGGCTCTCTGAAGTGGTCGGACGTTCTCGGCGGAGGCTGTCGGATGTTGCCTGAGGTTGTCAAAACGTCTCCCGAGGCCAAGGCCTCCCGAACGCGGCCGGAGTGGGGTCTGAGGATCGCGCCGCTCATCGCCGATGTGTCGGCGATATGCGGCTCGAGGTGGAGCCCTTTTGTTCTCCACGCCAATGTCGCCAATGCAGTCCCAAACACCCGACGTCATGATTTTTTCGCAACGTCGGCCCTCAGAAGTCTCGACCGATTCCCCGGAACCGTGTCTTCATCCTGCGTCGTTTTTAGACGTCCCCGAAGCCCAGGAAGGGCCCCAAGCGGCCGAAATGTATGGAAAGGCTCTTCGGCGACGCCTCATGGGGGCGCGATACATAGGGGTGAAGAAAGGTGCACCTTTCGGTCCCGAAATGACCCCTCTTGAACCCTGAAGGGCTCCTCTCGGGGACCCTGAAGGGCCCCTTTTCTGCATCCCTCGCAGCCCCCCCCACTCATCGCCCCCCCCCCATCACGGGACGCCCCAGACTCGATTTTGTTCGAGACGCCGGATGTTGGGCACCAGGTGGGAGGAGGAGGAGGAGGAGGAGGAGGAGGAGGAGGAGGAGGAGGAGGAGGAGGAGGAGGAGGGGGAGGAGGGGGGGAGGGGGAGGAGGGGGAGGAGGGGAGGGGAGGGGGGAGGGGGAGGAGGAGGAGGAGGAGGAGGAGGAGGAGGAGGAGGAGGAGGAGGAGGAGGAGGGAGGAGGAGGAGGAGAGGGAAGAGGAGCAGGAGGAGGAGGGGAGAAGAGGAGGAGGAGGAAAGAAAGAGGAGGAGGAGAAAAGAAAGAGGAGGAGGGTGAGGAGGAGGAGGAGGATGAGGAGGAGGAGGAGGAGGCGAGGAGGAGCAGGAGGGAGGAAAAGGACGAGGAGGAGGAGGAGGAGGATGAGGGAGGAGGACGAGGAGGACCCCCACCCCTCTGGGGTGCGGCGGCGGGCGCGGCCGCGCCTCGGGGCCTCGGCGCGGGCCGCTCGCGCCTCCGCGGGGCCGCTCGAGGGCGGCGCGCCACCGCGCGCGCCGGCGAGGGCCGGGGCGAGGGCCGGCGAGGGGCGGCGAGGGGCGGCGGAGGGGCGGAGGGGCGGGCGGCGGAGGGGCGAGGGCGAGAGGAGATCGCCGAGGCGGGAGGAGGGCGGTGGCGGTGATGGTGGTGGTGGTGGTGGTGGTGGAGGTGGTGTTGTTGTTGTTGTTGGTGGTGGTGGTGGTGGTGGTGGTGGTGGTGGTACTGATGGTGGTGGTGGTGGGATGATGATGGTAATTGTGATGACGATGGTGATGGTAGCGGCAGCGGTGGTGGTGAATGTGATGACGGCGGCGACGGCGGCGCCGACCGCGCCAGACAACCTCGGATCGATGCTGCTGGTGATGATGATGACGACGATGATGATGGTGTCGTTGATGCTGCTGCTGCTGATGATGATGACTATGATGCTGATGATGGTGATAATGATGATGCTGATGACGATGGTGATGATGCTGATGATGTTTATGATGATGATGATGATGATGATGATAATGATGATGGTGGTAATGGCGGTGGTGGTGAAGATGATGATGATGACGACGATGGTGATGTTGATCATGATGATGAAGATGATGATGATGATGATGATGTTGATGATGATTATGATGGTTGCTGCTGCTGTTTACGATGACGAGGATGATGATGACGACGATGATGATGATGATGATGATGATGATGATGACAACAACGATGATGATGACGACGACGGTGGTGGTGATGATGATGATCATGATGATGATGATGATCATGATGATGATGATCATGATGATGATGATGATGACGATGATGATGGGGATGATGGTGGTGATGATGATGGTGATGATGATGATGATGATGCTGATGCTGATGCTGATGCTGATGATGATGATGATGCTGATGATGATGCTGATGATGATGATGATGATGATGATGATGATGATGATGATGATGATGATGATGGCGGCGGCGGCGGTGGCCGCCCCGACATCCTCCCGTCATGACAAACAGTTACCCCGGCGAAGAGACCAACCAGATGTAGTTGCCGATGCCGCAGTTGTGAGAGTCGTTTTCGGTGGAGCTCCCCATGGGGCCACGAAGCGTGTGAGGGGTGTGCTGAGATGGGTGAAACGCCTGCGGACTGTGCCAGTTGGACTTCCGGTGGAGCTCCCCAGGAGGCCACGAAACATGTCAGGGGTGTACCAAAACGAGTGGGGTAGGCACATGCGGACTGTGCCGTTGGGGCCTTAGGTGGGGTTTCCTATGAGACCACGAAAAGTGTGAGGCGTGTGCCCAAATGGGTGGGGCGGTGGACTGCGCCATGAGGATGGGGGCCTTCGGTGGCTCTCCCGCTGGGGCCGCAAAGTAGTGTGTGAGGGGTGCGCCGAGATGGGTGGGGCGGCCACGTGCGGGCTGTGCCAGCTGAACCTTCGGCAAGGCTCCCGAGGGGGGCACGAAACGTGCCAGGGGCATGCCGGGATGCGTGGGGCGGCCACGTGCGGACTGCGCCACTGGGGCCTTGGGTGGAGCCCCCTATGGGGCCTCGAGACGTGCGAGGGGTGAGCCGAAATCTGCGGGGCGGCGACATACGGACTGTGCCTGTGAGACCTTCTGTGGAGCTCCCTCTGGGGCCGAGAAATGCCGGGCATGTTGACACGCAAAGGGCAGAGGCACGGATGGGAGGAGGGAGGAAGGGAGGAAGGAGGGGAGGAGATGGAAGAGGAAGAGGAGAAAAAGAGAGTGACGCAGGGCGCTGTCTCTTCAAAAAGGGGACCCAACACCGTAAAATGGGTTGAGACATATCACGGAAAGACGGTCTTTGACGATTTTCCACTTCTGGGGGCCCCTGCCAAGTCTTGGGGGCTGTCAGAACACGACTCGGGATGAAAAGCCGGTCCCCCAGGAGGGGGTCCAGACCTGTGCGAGGAGCCACGCTGGGGGGGGTCGCGAAGTCGGATGTCTGGGGCGACGATGACCACGAGATAACGATGATGAGGGACGAGGAGTGCGAAATGAGCAAACCCTGCACCGTTCCCAGTGTCGATCTGGCGGACAGGCTGCAACTCGAGCCACGGGAGGTCCGCTTGGGCCTTCGGCGCCACCACCTGTGGAGTTCTCGCCCACCCTCACGCAGGGGTAAGAGGAGGCGCAGTAGGGAGTTCTCATAGGCAATCGAGGCGCCCTGGTCTCCTTAGCTAGGGAGTTAGGCAGCAACTTTGCCTTGCGATATTCTGTGTTGAAGGAACTCGTTCGACTGAGCGTGGCGAAGAATCCACGAGTGCTTGCACAGCAACGTGCAGATTATGGCTGGCTGCCCTGCAGGAGAAATATCAGGCAAACTGGCCACGGAGCCGAATGAGCTAAGCCCGCGTGAAGAGTAGCCGCACCCTGTCATTCAGGGCAAGCGGCTGAGCAAGTCCAGAGAGCTCAGCCATAGCCTTGAGGAGAAGGCAGGAGGAGATGCTTCAGAAGTGCATTCACCGTAGAACCACCCTGAGCAGCCACCATCTGTGTGACTTGGCGCGGGTTTCTGCCACCGTACGCACGACCTGGAAGAGGAGGATGAGGGAGGAGGAATCAGGAGGAGGGTGGGAAAGAGAAGGATTATGAAGGAAAGGGGACGAGGAGGGGAACGAGGATGAGGAGGAGGGAGGAGGAATCAGGAGGAGGAGGGGCAAGAGAGGAGTCCAGAAGGAACTGGGACGAGGAGAAGGAGGATGAGGAGGGGGAACAAGGGGGAGAAGGGGGGGTAGAGATCAGGCGTGAGGAGCACGGGACCCCCAGGGCCCCTCCCCTGGGACCTCCTCCGCGCCGCGGGCCCCAGAGGAGCGAGCTGCACTCCCTGCTCCTCCCCCGCCGCCCGAGCCGGCCTCCGCCGGGGGGCAAGGGGCCAACCCCGCGCCTCGCAGCAGCCAACCTGCACTCGGGGGGACGGGGCCCGCGCACACAGGGGTCAGCTCCACATCGGCCCCGCGCGGGTCCTGGAGCGCGGCTCCCGATCAGGATTGGGTCGGTCGCGTCCTCCTACGGGCCTGTGCTGGACAAGCACTAGAAAGGAGCCCACGAATGCTCAAACATATGGTCCAGACTCGTCGAACATTCGTCGCCGTAGTATGTTTTTTGACTATCTTTGAATCTTCCTCCCGTATGGGGGAAAGTCTATCTTTTTTTGTTGACTATCTTTGAAAGACGAAAATTCGTGGCCGTAGTATTTCTTTGACTCTCTTCGAGCAGTCCTCCCGCAGAGGGGGACGTGCCCGACGTCAGCCCAGGAGGTCCCGAGGCGGCCCTCCCGCCGTGGCGGCCGACGGCGAGGGCCCCCCGCAGAAGAGAGAAAGGCCGTCGGGTGCCTCGGCTGCCTCGGGGGCGGGGCCCCTTTCCTGCGAGGCGCCCCCCCTCCTCCTCCTCCTCCTCCTCCTCCTCCTCCTCCTCCTCCTCCTCCTCCTCCTCCTCCTCCTCCTCCTCCTCCTCCTCCTCCTCCTCTGGTCAATCTGAGGGCTCCCAGGAGCAGGCTCTCGGCAACCGCGCTCCCCCCCTCCCTCCCCGGGCCTCTGGCGCCTCGACTTGTGGACGCCATGGCAATGGACACTCTAACAGTCCTATCGTTGAATTAAATATGTGTTTGAAGTGTGTAAAACATGTCCTGTAAACGTTTCGAACATGTTATGTATACACACATATATATATATATATATATATGTATCCGCCGGCCCCCTTGTGGGGCCACCAGGCTGTAGGCCCGTGATTCGCAGTTTCCTGTACCAGTTGTAGTTTGTAGTTTCCAGTGTTACAGTTCTGCTTCTTGCTGGTTACTGTAACTAGTTGATTGACCGCGCGAGGGGAGGGAGGCCCAAACCAGATTTTTAGCACCACCTGGGCGCGTTGTCTGAATTGCTGGGGGGGCTCAAAATCGACACCCCTCACGCAGATCCGCGGGGTCAGGGTCCAAAAACACAGGGATTTGCCACATTTCTGAAATTCGGTGCCACCCCTCACGCAGATCCGCGGGGTCAGGGTCCAAAAACACAGGGATTTGCCACATTTCTGAAATTCGGTGCCACCCCTCACGCAGATCCGCGGGGTCAGGGTCCAAAAACACAGGGATTTGCCACATTTCTGAAATTCGGTGCCACCCCTCACGCAGATCCGCGGGGTCAGGGTCCAAAAACACATGGGATTTGCCACATTTCTGAAATTCGGTGCCACCCCTCACGCAGATCCGCGGGGTCAGGGTCCAAAAACACAAGGGGATTTGCCACATTTCTGAAATTCGGTGCCACCCCTCACGCAGATCCGCGGGGTCAGGGTCCAAAACCTGCTCTTCCATGGCCCATTCTCCGAGAGGGGGCCGGCGGCAGGGGGCGAAGCCCTTACGGATATATATATATATATATATATATATATATATTATATATACACATATATACATGTATATATTTATATATATATATATATATATATATACATAATTCATGTTTGAAACATGTTTCGACAGGTGGAAATCATTTGGCAGCACGCTTTCTCTCCATTAATCGACTTCCACCAGCCTTGACTCATTCGATGCACGGGCCCTGTACCCCTCCAACCACTCGTTCCCCCGAGACTGGTGATCTGTCCGGCATGGCTCGTGTAGCCCCGTAATTAGCCCGATGACGGCTTCCAGAAGCCGGGAGCAAGAACAGAAAGCTCCGCCCTGGCTCTCTGTGAGCAAGGCGTTGGAGGTCTGTGGTCGGGGGTGAAACACTCGCACCCTGGACAGGTCCAAGGGCTCGTTCGACCGCCCCCGCCCACCGTTCGGTGCTCGCTTAATTTCCTGCCTGCCGGTTCTGCTGCTCCTCTTCCTCTCCTCCCCGCTCCAACTCCTGATGCTCCATTGGAGGCCGAGCAGATGGGGTCAGAGGATCCGCCGCACCGCCGATGCATCATCGGGGATGCGTCGGCGACGCGTAGGCGATGCGTCGGCGATGCGTCGGCGATGCGTCGGAACGGAGAAGAACCAGCTCCAAATCGCGCAGCATTGCCGATGCATTGGCGACGCGGCGCGATCCTCCGACCACATCTGCTCCCGGGCAGCGATCCCGCGGGTGCAGGGCGTTGTTTCGCGGACGCCTCGCGCGGGACGGATCCATGCCACAGCGTGCCTGAAAAAAAACGGCGTAAACACAGGCTTTTGACGGTCCGCGCGGCTCTCTTGGATCGGCGCAGGCCCCCCCCCCCCTCCCTGGGCGCGCGTAGCGCGCGCCAGGGGCTGTGCCGGAGGCGCCGCCGGGGGGGCCCCAGCGCAGAGCCAAGACATCCGCGCGGACCGTCGACGCTTTCTGCTTCTGCCGCTTGTTGGCATTCGGGTGTGTATCCGTTCCACCGCGTGTCCGCGGGATCGCGCCCCGGATTCCAGAACTGCGAGGGCGCGGATACCCTGAGATCTGCCGACGTCCACCCCCAAACAAGGATGCAACATCGCAAGAAACCGTCACCAGAGCCCTGGACACCATACCATCCCTGTGGGCCACTTTTCGAGCTGGGCCGAGCTGTCCAGGGCCCGAAACCCGACAAAAAACGCCCGGCTCGAAAAAATCGAGACGCCAAGATCTGAAGTGAGGACGGGGCTAGAACATGAATATATCCGTTCCAGGGCGCTCCAGAACGCTCTCAGAACGTCCTGGAACGCTCTGCAGAAGGCTGCGGCCCCCAAGACACCTTCCAGAGCCGCAGGATCTCAGAGACTCTCGATGTATCCTCACCCGACTTTATCCTCGTCCTGGCTTCGTCTTACATAAGGTACGGCGCCGTGCACCCAGACCCCCGACGTCGTGATTTGTTCCATGACGTGACCCCCAGAAGTCTAGACCCCTTCCTGGGGACCGGCTCTTCCTCTTGAGTCGTTTCTTGACGCTCCCGAGGCCCGGTGAAGGCCCCCAGTGGCCGAAAACAGAACCTCCCGTCGTGCTTTTTTTTCACAAAGGAGGTCCTGGCTTCGTCTTGAGCCTGTTCTTTAGACTGCAGCAAGTTTATTTGCACGGACGGGGGGGGGTGCAGAACCTGAAGCAGGCCACAAACGGTGTGCACGTGCGGCAATCACGCCAGTCTAAAGGGCACTTGCACGCCAGTGCTCGCTGGAAGAAGGGCGAGGGGGAGGGGGGGAGGGGGGGGCGAACGCCATGCAAGCAAACTTGCCTGAATGTAATAAATACTTATATACACGCATTTGCTCGGGGGCGGCCAAAAGGGGGGTTTCCAAAAGGGGGGGGTGCAAATCATGACCTGCGGCATGTGCGCGGCCCAGGGGGGGGGCTAGGGACGTAACGAAACAAGAACAGGCGCCATGACATCTGGGGAGATGTCATGACCCCCGCCATGGTACCCCCCCCCCTAGTCATCACCCCCGGTCTTCGCCGCCCCCGATTCTTAAAAAAATCAGTACGCTCCTTACAGGGTGCGGCGCCGGGCACGACGCGGGCCGGGCGCGGCGAGAGGGCGCTGGGGGCGAGGAGCGCGGCGGGGCCTTGATGGCCCGCAGCGCCCGAACCTCCTGCGGTGGCGGGCGGGCGGCTGCAGCAGGCAGCGGGGCCGCCGCGGCAGGCGCGGCGCCGTGGGGGGCGCCCTCCTCCTCCTCCTCCTCCTGCTCCTCCTCCTCCTGCTCCTCCTCCTCCTCCTCCTGCTCTTCCTCCTCCTGCTTCTGCTCCTGCTCCTGCTCCCTCCTGCTCCTCCTCCTCCTCCTCCTCCTCCTCCGCCTGTTCCTGCTCCTGCTCCTGCTCCTCCTCCTCCTCCTCCTCCTCCTCCTCCTCCTCCTCCCCCTCCTCCTCCTCCTCTCCTCCTCCTCTCCTCCTCCTCTCCTCCTCCTCCTCCTCCTGCTCTTGCTCCTGCTTCTGCTCCTGCTCTCCTCCTCCTCCTCTCTGCTCCTGCTCTGCTCCTGCTCCTCCTCCTCCTCCTTCCTCCTCCTCCTCTCCTCTCCTGCTCCTGCTCCTCCTGCTCCTGCTCCTGCTCTGCTGCTCCTCCTCCCTCCTCCTCCTCCTTCTCTCCTCCTCTCCTCCCCTCCTCCTCCTCTCCTGCTCTGCTCCTCACCCCCTCCTCGCCCGCCTCGCCCCCTCCTTCGCCCTGCTCTTTCTCCTCCTCCTCCTCCTCCTCCTCCTCCTCCTCCTCCTCCTCCTCGTGCTCCTTAGTCACAATTTGCCGTGGGCGGCTGGAACGCTCACGCTCGGCAAGAGCGCATGGCTGCAACTCGCGCCGTGTCCGGCTGGGAACGATCGCGCTGGGGAACAACACGGGGCAAGAACCCACGCCGTGCGCGGCTGGAGCGCTCGCGCTCGGAACAACAGCGTGGCTGGAACCCACGCCGCGTGCGGCTGGAACGCTCGCGCTTGGTAAAAGTGCATGGATGGAATCTACGCCGCGTGCGGCTGGAACGTTTGCGCTCGTTAAAAGTGCATGGCTGGAGCCCACGCCATTGGCGGCTGGAACACTCGCGCTGGATACAAATTACAGGCTTGAGCCGACACCGTGGGCGGTTGGAACACTTTTCTTGGTAGAAGTTGAAAGCTGGAGCCACTCCTTCTCGTCGGCATGGGCGGCTGGAACACTCTCCCTGGTAGAAATTGAAGGCTGGAGCCACTCCTTCTTGCCGGCATGGGCGGCTGGAACAGCTGGAGCCTCACCCTTGGGCGGCTAGAACATGCTCCCCCGTGAAATGTGATGGCTGGAGCCACCCTTTCTTGTCGGCAGAGGCGGCTGGACCACACTCTTCCTCGTAAAAACTGAAGGCTGGAAGCTCACCGGATCAAGGGATTTACACTTTTACTGTCAGATCAATGTGGGGGGGGGGGAGGCTGACGAGCCACTAGCAAGGGTCCTAGCATTGCATCCACGCCTCGCTCCCAAACTGGGTCAGTCCGCGCGCCCGTCTGTCGGTCAGTCAGACCGTCGGACGTCGTCGTCAGTCGTCATCTCGGTCCTGTCGATCGGTCGGTCGGTCGGTCATCGGTCACAGCTGGAGTCCGCCCACGCCATGGCACTCTCTGAAAGTGCGCAACTGGGGGCAACGCGGCTACGGATGCAATAAGGTTGAAAACAAGACGGTGTACCCAGAATCTGCCTGCTATGGCATGCGAATCGAAATGCCACTACTCACAGTAGTCCACTGACTGTAGGGTGCCTTCTTGAATGTGTTTTTGAGGCGAACTGGGGTGGCCTCACAGGGCGCGCTTGGGGGCACTCTCGAGGCGCTCTGTGTGTCCTCTTGGGGGTCTCGTGAAGCCCTGCTCGCCCTTTGCAAGGGCTTGTGGGGGCAGCCCCCGGGGGCGTTGGGAGGTTCACCCAACGCGCCGCGATGGGAAATATGCTCGATGATCAAAAGCGTTGAAGGCCCAAAGGAGTTGAATGCTTTGGGGCTATATCAGGTGCTGCTCGACGTGCTATATTGGAGGTCATGGTGTTGCCTTCGGCCAGACTGAAAGCAGACTGAATTCACTTTCGGCCCGGGACGCTCTCGAAAAGACCCCTTCGCTTGCACGGTTTCCCCCCTAATTAGGCGACCCGAGGAGGAGGAGGAGGAGGAGGAGGAGGAGGAGGAGGAGGAGGAGGAGGAGGAGGAGGAGGAGGAGGAGGAGGAGGAGCTGGAGGAGGAGGAGGAGGAGGAGGAGGAGGAGGAGGAGGAGGAGGAGGAGAGCAGGAGGAGGAGGAGGAGGAAGAGCAGGAGCAGGAGGAGGACCGGTCGCCTAAGCCCTTCGGAGAACTGCCTCGACGTTCGCTCACGCTGGGGATGTTCGGCGGCGCGCCCCCGGGGGACGGCAGAGGTGGCGGGCCTCTCCAAAGGCTCTCAGAAGGCCTCCGACCTTCTGAGAAGCTTCACCAAGCCAGGCTCCCAAGCCCTCGCCTTCCCCAGACCCCTTATCGGGTAAGGCAAAAACTCATGATGGGAGGTTTTCCGCAGTTTTCGGCCTCTGGGGGGCCTCACCGGCCTCGGGGACCGTCAAAAAACGACTCAGGATGAAAAACGGGTCCTGGGGAATGGGTCGAGACCTCCAGGGGTCGACGTTATGAAAAAATCATGACGTCGGGGGTCTGGATCTGTAGAGGGCTCCCAAATGTGGTCCGAGGAGATGGGGTCGGAAAATCGCGCTGCATCGCCATTACATCGCCGATGAATTGGCGATGCATCGGCGATGCATCGGCGACGTCGCGGGGCGCATCCGCGACGTCGGCAGACAGAAAATCGTGCTCCGCATCGAGCCGCATCGCCGATGCGTCGGCGATGCGGCGCGATCCTCCGACCCCATCCACGTGGACCCCATCTGGGAGGCCTAGATTTTGAATCGTCCTGAATTTGTCGTCCTCAGTCGTTTTTGACGGTCCCGAGGCCCGATTAGGCGCCCTTAGGCCGAAAATTGTACGGAAGCTTCCCGTCACGATGTTTTCACAACGCGAGGAGCCCTGAGATACGACGTCGTGATATTCGTCACAACGTCGACCCCCAGAGGTCTCGACCCCTTCCCAGGGAGCAGCTTTTCGTCCTGCGTTGTTTCTTGGCGGTCCCGAGGCCCGATGAGGGTCCCTGGAGCCCGAAAACGGCGAGAAACCTCCCGTCGTGACTATTGCTTTGTTGCTGCGCGAGGGGGTCTGCGAGGTCTGGGAGGCCCTCGCCTTCTGAGAAGGCCTGCCCTCGCCTTCTGGGAAAGTCGTGCTCCACATCGCGCCGCACCGCCGGTGCATCGCCGATGCGGCGCGATCCTCCGACCCCATCGAGGCCCTCGCCGTCGGAGGAGGCCCGCCCCGTCGTTACTGTTTCACAAATCGCGAGGAGGTCTGGGCCTGCGAGGCGGAGCAACACGCTCTCCGCGTGCAGGGCGTGGCGTGCCGCCGGGGGCCGCTGCGGCGGCGCGCCATGGGCGGGCGCTCCCGGCCGCAAGATGCCGCGGGCACATCCGTGCAGGCACTGGCGTGCCAGCCGGTGCCCCATGGCATGAAGTCGGGCATGTCCCTCTGCAGCAGGAGTATTCAAAAATAATCCAAAAATAGTCGGGGGACGGTTTTTCTAGTTGTTTTGGCTATTGTTGAGCACTTGTTGTCCCTTCTTAACTTTTCCTCCAAAATCCGCATGTAGGGGGGGGAATGCATGACCTAAGACTAAGTCGGGCATGTCCCTCTGCAGTGGGTGCCCATGCCAAGAAACAATCCGCTGACCTCCAGGGTGCCCTGGGTTTCTCGGGTTTCGATGGTTTTTTGCGATGGAAGGCGTGCCGTTCCCACACAATACAAATCCATGGGCGTCCTGGGGTCTCAGGGTTGGGTTTCTTGTGGAAGGTTCCTTGTGGTCGGGCCCCTACTGCACAGTAGGGAGACTCAAGAATAGTAGCAACATAGCGTGGTGGCGATTTTTCGTGCCCTTTGTTCTTTTGTTTGTTTTGTATTTGTCTTTCAAACTCCGCATGTACGAGGACATGCCCGAACGAACCATGGCAGTGTCCTAATTATCCCAAAGATGGCCCCAGGGACCTCCAGATGCTCTGGATCCGCCTCGACGGCGCGCCCCGTGGGGGAGGTGAGAGGGGGCGGGCCTCCTCAGACGGCGAGGGCCTCGATGCAGAGGGACATACCCGACTTAATGCCATGGGGCACCGGCTGGCACGCCAGTGTCATTCCCCCCCCTACATGCGGATTTTGGAGGAAAAGTTAAGAAGGGACAACAAGTGCTCAACAATAGCCAAAACAACTAGAAAAACCGTCCCCCGACTATCTTTGGATTATTTTTGAATACTCCTGCTGCAGAGGGACATGCCCGACTTCATGCCATGGGGCACCGGCTGGCACGCCAGTGCCTGCACGGATGTGCCCGCGGCATCTTGCGGCCGGGAGCTCCCGCCCATGGCGCGCCGCCGCAGCGGCCCCCGGCGGCACGCCACGCCCTGCACGCGGAGAGCGTGTTGCTCCGCCTCGCAGGCCCAGACCTCCTCGCGATTTGTGAAACAGTAACGACGGGGCGGGCCTCCTCCGACGGCGAGGGCCTCGATGGGGTCGGAGGATCGCGCCGCATCGGCGATGCACCGGCGGTGCGGCGCGATGTGGAGCACGACTTTCCCAGAAGGCGAGGGCAGGCACGCGAGGGGCTCCCTGACCTCCCAGACCCCCCCGCGCCGTGACAAAACACACATCACGGCGGGAGTTTTTTCGCCGTTTTCGGGCTCCAGGGGCCCTCATCGGGCCTCGGGACCGTCAAGAAACGACGCAGGATACAAAACCCGTCCCCGGGAAGGGGTCGAGACCGCTGGGGGTCGACTTTGTGCAAATATCAAGATGTCGGGGGTCTGGGGGGCGGGAAGATTCGAAACGCTTGGGACGTTGGCACCTGGGAGTGGGGACATGGATAGCGTGCCGCGCCGAGGCGTGGTGGGCCCGAACCCGCGGAACGACAGGCTGCGGTCGGACCCAGGGCGGGAGAACATCCTTCAAGAACATGAGACCCTCTGCCGGCCAGAACACGCAGAGCACCCAAGGGTACCCGCCCAGGGATGCACCCGAACATCCGACAAGCACGAACACCGGGGTACCCTCACCGAAACGCCCTCGATCGTATACCTCGTCCCGACCCGAAGCCAAAGTTCCCGACCACATGCCCTACTCAGAGGGGCGATGGACGGTGGCAGGCTCCTCTTGGAGGGCGAGGACCTCCGTGCACCTCTCGTCGTACTTGTGCGCCAGCCACTCCTGGGGCTGCGCCCGGCTCCGTCGGCGAGAGCGCGCCTGCCGATGCCGCCGCCGCTGGTCGTGGCGCTGGGGCCGCCACCTCGTGCCGCCACGACAGGGGTCTCGGCGAGCGGCGGTCATCGGTGCCGTCGTCGTCGTCGCCGTCGCCGCCGTTGTCGTCGTTGTCGCCGTCGTCGTGCCCGCTGCCGCCGCCGCCGCCGCCGTCGTCGTCCTCTTCCTCGACGTCGTCGTCGTCGTCGTCGTCGTCGTCGTCGTCGTCGTCGTCGTGGTCATCGTGGGCAGTGGTCACGGTGGGCCCTCTCCTCCGCCCGCCCGTGGGGAGGAGGGACCTTGGCCTTCTGTTGACGGCCTCCTCCTCCACTCCCTCTATCTCCCTCCTTCTCCTCCTCCTCCTCCTCCTCCTCCTCCTCCTGTTCCTCTTCCAACTCCTCCTCAGACTCCTCCTCGTCGTCCTCCTGCTCCACCTCCCGCTCCCCCTCCCCCTCCCGCTCCCCCCCCCCCCCTCCCTCTCCTCCTCCTCCTCCTCCTCCTCCTCCTCCTCCTCCTCCTCCTCCTCCTCCTCCTCCTCCTCCCCCTCCTCCTCCCCCTCCCTCCCCTCCCCCCCCTCCCCCTCCCTCACGTCCTCTCCCCTCCGCGCGGGGTGTGCGCCCCGTCCCCCTCCTCCACGAAATTTCTGCTACGGCGGCCACGAACCGTCTGTGCTGCAAGAGAGAGAATACCGACACGGGACTGTGTTTGACGAGGTAGGATTGACCCCCCATGGCCCCCCCAGACCCAAATTGGCCCCCCCAGACCCAAATTGACCCCCCCATGGCCCCCCCATGGCCCCCAAGAATTTTGTAACGGCGGCAATGAACCATCTATGTTGAAATAGAGAACACCGACTCCGGACTGTATTCGACGAGATAGGATTGACTCCCCCCATGGGCCCCCCAGACCCAAATTGGCCGCGCGCGGTGTGCGCCGTGCCCACGTCCCATTCCCGCAACGCATTTCGCAGCGGCGACGAAAAACCCTCCATACAGAGAGAGAGAGAGAGAGAAATGCGCAGATGTTGTATTGCTTCCTGACAGGCAGGATGGTCCCCCCCCAGGATGTGGGAGCGGCCAGCCGGCCAAGTGGAAGAGTGCGAGTGTATCACAATCAAAGTCAGTAATGTAAGATCACGATCAAACAAAATGTGGGAGACATGATGAACAAACATAATGTCCAAATCTTCGGCTTCCGCTTCGCTCCGGCTCCGTCTGACCCGTCGACCGTCCAGGCGCGCGCCCGAGGAGGGCGGGGTGGGGGAACGATTGCAGCGCAGTTTTCCGGCCGGGGACCCGTTTCTCGAATCAACATCCTGGGGCGCCGCCGAATGAACACGACGCCTTGCAATTTCTGAATTATGGGCATGCAGTAACAAGTAAAAATAAGAACCCCCACACCTCATGTGGCATCCTCGGGGGACCTTCTCTGTCCCGTCACGGCCCCATCCGCGTCGCATCCGCGTCGCATCCGTGTCGGACTCGTCGGATCCGTGCCGACTCCGCGCCGCATCCGCGTCGGATCCACGCCAAATCCGCGCCGACTCCGCATCGAGCCCGCGTCGGGCGCAAGAAGAAGGCACCAGTGCTGGGTACAGGCAAGGCCCCCCGAGGACGCAACGTGAGCACACCAGATCGGGAGGAGGAGGAGGAGGAGGAGGAGGAGGAGGAGGAGAAAGAGGGGAAGGCCTCCTCCGTGAGCCCCTGCATGCCGTGGCGTGGCTCGCACCGCGTGCACCCTGGGCACCCCGCCTGGCGGCTGCGGGACGGCCCCCTCTCGCCACGGGGCCGCCCGACTCCGAGGGCGTCGCTGCGACGCGCGCGACCGGCGACGCCCAAAAGAGTACGGTAGGGGCTCGACCACAAGAAACCTTCGAAAATGTATGGCTTTGCAGTTTTTGTTTCCTGGTTTCCATCACAGGGGAACAGGTCGGGGTAGGGAGGGGCTCGCTGTTCCTCAGTTCCTGTCCACAAGACACCCAACCCAGACATCCCAGGACGTCCACGGATGTTCGGTGAGAGAACGTCACGCTCTCCATCCCAAGACCATCGAAGCCGAAAGAACCCGAGACACCCTGGAGGCAAGCGGGCTGTTTCTTGGCATGGGCCTCCACCGTATGGAAATGGGCCCTTCGCCAGAGAGTCTGCAGCTGCCTCCTCTCGCGCATCCCTCCTGGCTCTCCAGGGGCCCCTCGCCCGAACGCGTGCAGCTGCCTCCCCTCGCGCCCCCCTCCTTCTGGCTCTCAAGGGCCCCTCGCCAGAGAGTCTGCAGCTGCTGCCTCCCCGCTTCCCCCTCCTGGCTTCAGGGCAGGAGAGCCCGGCATCGAATCGAGAAGTCGGATCGGCACTCGAACTGCACCAGACCGGGGGAAAATCGGCAGCCGAGTCGGGCAGAGTCGCGCCGGCGGACATCGGCAGGCCACTAGGCCTCCATTTTTCGTGAGAGAAGTCGGAGCCCGAACCGGAATCCGAGGTCGAATCGACTCGGCATCGGAAACCCTCGGAATCGAATCGAATCGGAGGACTCGGAAGGAGCCCTGCCATGGGGTCCTTCGTCCCCGACGGGCTCCGACGGGCCCCGGCGCCCCCCGAGCCCAGCGGGCGCCTCTGCCCGCCCCCTCTGCGCCTCCCGCCCCGCCCGGCGCGGCCGAGGGCCGGGCCTCGAGGGCGGGCGCCGGCGTCGCGCTCCCCACTGCTCGCGGGGGGACGGCCCCCCGGACTCAGCCGACCAGGGTGAGCACTTGCCTGGTGGATGCCATGACAACGGACACTCTAACAATCCTATCATTGAACTAAACATGTGTTTCAACATGTGTGAAACATGTTCTAAACATGTTTCAAACCTTTTCATCTCTAAAACATGTTTGAACCATTTCGAAACATCTGGCAATTATTTGGCAGCATGCTTCCTCTCCATTAATCAACTTCCACAACACTTGCCCAGACCCCATCGGGCAATGAAAATCATGACGGGAGGTGTTGTGTTATTTTCGGCTTCTGGGGGGGCCCTTACCGAGACCTCCACGGGTCGACGTAATGAACAAGTCATGGCGTCGGGGGCCTGGGTGTGGAGTCCAAAACCTGGATAGCGGGGCGCCAGAAAGACCTTCGAGCACCCTCTCGAGAGAGCTCTGGAAGCTCCTGGAAGGAGCTTCGAAAGAAGCTTCGGGGCACACGTATTGGGACGCTTAGAAAAGGCCCGCGGGCACGCGTTGCAGGTTCAGGCAAGCCCCGCCGAAGTGTCCGCCAGAACGAGCTCCGGGGCTACCCTGCGGCGCTGGCTTCTTATTCTGCAACCCTCTAAGATGTCCAAGGACATATGTGGGAAGTCAAATTCACAGGGGATCGACGCAAACAAAACTGGTTTTATACGAGAGGACGTAGCGATCTTACGTGGTGGATTACGCAGCCCGCCAGCGCAGAACGTTGCGTTGGAGACGAAGGCGCTTCTGCGCGACCTCACGCGGGCAACTTACGCCCCAATGTTGGCGCAGACGACTCCGTTATTTTATTGTCTTTCGGGGGAGGGAACTTTACAAACATCGTGTTACCATGTGCAACGCACATAAAAAACGGCGGGGCTTTCTGGCCATGGCGGCCCCAGGCCACAAACAGGGTCCATGATACAAATCTACGGCGCCCCTCTTGAACGCAAAGCGGTCCTCATTTCAACGTCTTGATTGTACTTCCACTGACTATGGATCTGACCCGAAAATCTCGCACCACTGCGCGGACGCACTTCGCAGGTGGCACGTCATGTAATATGTCCGTGAAAGAGTTTGCGTTGTGCAACAGATTTTGCGCACTGCACGTTGTGCTGGATATTTTGCGCAACCTATGGTGTGCTATCCACTCTGCTGAACTTGAAATCGTCATCTCCACTGCTCGCGCAAACATCCCACCCACCCACCCGCAACTTGGTTTGCAAAACCTGTTCAGACCGACTACGACGACACCGACGACAACGACTAGGATGACACCGACGACGTCTCCGACGACTTCGACGGCGACAACGACGCCGACGCCGACGACGACGAAGACGACGACGACGACGCCAACGAAGGCGACGACGAGGGAGGAGGAAGGACGACGACGGCGACAACGACGACGACGACAACGACGAGGGAGGAGGGAGGACGGCGACGACGCGAACGGCGACGAACGAGGAAGGACGGCGACGCCGACGACGACAACGACGAGGGAGGAGGGAAGACGACGACGACAACGACGACGACGACGACGACGGCGACGAACGAGGTGCAATTCACTTGCCGAACTTGAGGTTGTCAACTCCATTGCTCGGGCAAGCATCCCACCCACCCACCCGTAACTTGGTTTGCAAAACCCATGCAGGAGCGATTGCGATGAGTGCTGGGTGTTGGCTGGTGCGTCTCTGCGGCCGCCCTAGCCCGCGCTGACGCGCGGGCACTTCAGTGCGAGTCGGTGACTTGGGCAGGCGGGTTATCATGGTGACGTCCACAACAGAAAACACGATGACAATAGAACTAATGCTGGTGACGATGATGGCGGTGACGACGGCAAGGCCAATGACGGCGCCGATGCTGATGACGCCGATGGCGATGATGGTGTCCACATGCTGGTGATGAACACTTTCGCAAGATTTTGACATGCGCGCACGGCCGACGGGCGCGAGCGGCAGGCATGGTACTAGTTGACAGGGATCGTGGCCCCCCGGCACGCGCACAGGGGCGTTCGGATGATTTCACAATGCGCGCGCGAGAGGCTCGTCTGGTCGCATTTGATAGTTTGAGAAACCCACGGTTTGATTACCCATTCGTAACAAAACACACATACGTTGTCCACAATCTTCATATGTATATATATATATATATATACATATGTATATGTGCCTGTGTTTTCGGGACACTCGATTTTGGAAGCCCCACGGGATCGATATAGTTTGTGAGTGATTTTGGCATGGGCGCGCTACGACGCGCGCGTGCCGACTTCGCCCTACCTGTTGCAGAGGATCTCTGAATAACCTACGATTTTATATGAATGACTGTGCGTGTATATTAAGACTATCTGACGAGGATAGGGGGGGGGGTCGCACCCAGCTTGGCTGTGATGGTATGATTAAATATCGAGAATGAACGATGGGGCACAATCGTATGTACATTGCAAGTCCCCAGGCCGGCCCGACAACCCTGGAAAGGAGGGGTAGACCCTAAATCCCATTCAGAAAGGAAAACCTATGCGAGCCACATACACGTTGTCTAATATATGTGGTGCGCGATCTATTTGGTGTTATCTATGTGGTGCAAACTATATTGTGTAATCTATGTTGCGAAATCTATGTGGTGCAACCTCTGTTGTGCAATCTGTGTTGTGCATTCTATGCTGTACAGATCGATGAGGTTGCGACGGGGCGGCGACGGCGACGACCTAGCCAGGAGACCGACGCACAGGCCCAGACGACGGGCGGCGATGAGGCGGCGACAGGGTGGGGAGGTACAATGACCTAGCCGCCGGACGGACGCACAGGCCCAGACGATGGGCGGCGACGAGGCGGCGACAGCGACTACATGGCAGCCAGATCGACGCACAGACCCAGTTCCTCAGAAAACAAATAACAAACCCGAAGCAGAAACACTGTTTCGGGAAAGCGGAAACTAGACAAACCATTATCTTTCGTGGGAAGCTCAATGGATCCTCCTTGCAACGAGACTCTCGGAAATCATCAACTTGCCACAGTTTGAATATCTAATGGGGCGAGCGGCAAGCCAATGGGCGGCCGCGAGTCCTTTTCCTGCCTCTCCTTCTCGATGGTGGCCATGAGCCATTGCTGGCGGGCGGGGAGGAAGTGATAACTGCATGATTGCCGCTTCCAGCGAGGCTTTGCCTAGCAACCCTGCTCAATCACGTCGAGGGGGAAGGCGGGTCCGATATGCCCAACCAAGAGTGGAGAATGGAATATGCTGGAAACTTTCACGCCCCCGCCACATCTGGCTGGGAGGTGAGTCGATCTCGAAGCTAAAAATTCCCAGGCACTGTTGAGTTCGGAATTGGTGTCAGGGTAACCCATGGGGGAGAGGCAGGGTGGAGGGACCATATGCGGACAGAGCTACAGCTCTGCTTCCGGGGTGGCTCTGCTGGGCAGGAAAACGGGAGAGGGGGGGAAGGGAAGGGCCTGTTTCTTTTTAGACTCCGGCAAGTTTACTTGCGTGGACGGGGGGGGGCCTGACCCTGAAGTTTCCCACAAACGACTTGCACGTGCGGAAACCAATTACGCAAGTCGAAAGGTAATTGCACGCCAGTGTTCGTCTGAAGATGGGCGGGGGAGGCGGGGGGGGGGGGGGGGGGGCGAACGCCATGCAGGTAAGCTTGCTCGAATCTGGGAAAAAAAGAAAAAAGAAAAAAATGCAGGGGTCCCAGGACAGGGCCCTTCAAGCCAAACGACCCACCATCGAACCGCTCAGGGAACTAGCCTGCCAGCAAGCTCGACAGACGGGCACGACGCAAACATGCCACTCAACAGATACTGTCTGCGGCGACTGCCGACATCCTCCTCCTCCTCCTCCGCCTCCTCCTCCTCCTCCGCCTCCTCCTCCTCCTCCGCCTCCTCCTCCTCCTCTTCCCCCTCCTACTCTTCCTCCCTCCTCATCCTCCCTCCTGCCTCCTCGAGGTGAAGATCACAAACTATTAGACAGGACGAAATCACACAGGGCGTCCCAGAGCGTCCCAGATGAGAGAGAGAGAGGGAGAGAGAAAGGATGCGAAGGAGAGAGAGAGAGAGAGAGAGAGCTGGAGTGCGAGAGACTCGAGAGGCAGAGAGATACTCATATATATATATATATATATAGAGAGAGAACAAACAAAAAGGAGAGAGAAAAAAAAGGCCATGAATCCACATACCCCTGTATACGCATACAGATACAGAAAGAGAGAGAGAGAGAGGGATAGAGAGAGAGAGAGAGACAAAAATAACAAAAAAACAGAGGGAGAGAGCACAACACCATGTACACACATACAGAGGCAGAGGCCAAGGATAGACGAGGGAGATGACAAGAGCGGGTCGCAGATCGAAACAAGCAACACGCACACCAGAGAACATGATGGCGCGGACAATCCGTGCTCCCCGGCAGATTTGCACGCCGCTGCCGAAGATTCCTGCCCCCCCCCATGCACACACACACACACACGTATCAAGGGGCTTGGTCCGGGACTCGGGCAGCCTGCGAACTCAAGACGAGAGCCTGGCGCCGCCAACGCCGATCGTTTCGGAAGTGAGCGTCCGTTGCCACCAGGGCCCACGCCACTGCCTGGCCGCGGGCGGACCCTGGGCCGGGCCCCTGGATCCCTTCCCGTCCACCGGCACCTGCCCCCGGGGCCCCCACGAACTCATGATCCGACCAGCCGGGCCCCGCTGGAAGGAGAAGAAGCATGGGATGAACGCAACCAGAGGAATAATTGAGCAGGGACCGACCGTCCCGGCATTCCTGTAGTCCTACCACGAAATGTTCTTAGAACCCATAAATGTTCGAAGAACAAACACAGTGATCTTAGAACATAGACCCGATGTGTTAAAACAAGACAGTCCCGGCCAGAAATGATCTAAGAACAATTCGTGCAGACCACAAAAGGTTCTTAGAACATTCTTTGGTGAGGCTATAGCCGAGCCAGGACGCTTTGCCACTGTTTAAGTAATAAGAAACTCGGCGGCGAGCCTGGGGCCCAGACCCCCTCGAGTCGTGAAAAAAAACACGACGGATTGCTTTCGATGTTTTCGGCCACCGGGGGCCCTCGCGGGGCCCCGAGGCGGTCAAAACACGACTCAGCAAAGCCAGTCCCCGGGAAAGGGTCCAGACTTCCAGGGGTCGCGTTATGAACAAATCCTGACGTCGGGGGTCTGGCGGGGAAGTGAGAAAGGGCGGGGCTTATCAGAAGGCTCGGAAGGCCTCCGGCCTTCTGAGAAGCGCTCTGACCCTTCCCCGAGGACGCAGAGAACTTCTCAGAAGGCCAGAAAGGGCTTCTGAGAAGTCCCGCCACCTTCTGCGAAGGCCTGTTCCCTCTCACTTCCCCCCGGGCGCGACGTCGAGGAACGGCGCAAAATAGCATGATGTCGCTGAGGTCCGCGCGGACTTCTTGGATCGGCGTTGGACCCCATCCTCCCTGGCGCGGGGGGGGGCCACGGCCGAACCAAGAAATCCGCGCGGGCCTCGGAGACAACGTCTTTGTCCCCGCTGTTCCTCGTCGACGAAGGGGCCCTGGGACACACAAATAAATACACACCATATCTTCCAATATTTTCTGGGTTTCTGGCCGTTGGCGTCCGCCAATGGGGGCGGCCTCCGTTTGCTTCCGCCAACTTCCGTCGCCCTTCCGCCATCTCCCGCCGGGGAAGAGATCTGCCGATACATGTTTGTTCAATCCACGGCGCTCCGTGAGGTCTCGACTCATTCCCCGGAAGGTCCTGACCACTTCCCCGGGATGGGTTTTTCGCCCAAGATCCAACCATTATCCAAATTACACATCGTAACTAAATATCCCGCAACCAAATCAAAACAAGCCACCCCTCTGCGGCGAAATCGCTTCTACAAGGCGACAATTTGGTTACAGACGCGTAGGCAATAAACCATTGTAATTCACATTGTTGTTGGCGCGTGATTTGGTTTCGCGCTCCTGTGTTCTAGGGCCCCATGGGGCGCCAACGGGCCCCGGAGACCGGGATTCGGGGGAAAAACCGCCGGATTGAAGACATCACATCCCCAGACCCCCGACGTCAAGACTTTGTTTCATAACCTCGACCCCCAGAGGTCTGGACCCGTTCCCGGGGACCCGCTCTTCATACATGGGTCGTTTGTTTTGACGGTCCCGAGGGCCAGGAAGGCCCCCAAAAGACCGAACAAAGCGAAAAACCTCCCGTCGTGATCTTGGGCCCGCCCTTCATCCTCAGCCGTTTTTGTTGACGGCCCCGTGGGCCGGGAAGGCCCCCCGGAGGCCGAGAAGAGCGAAAACCCTCCCGTCATGATCCTGGGCCCGCTCTTCATCCTGAGCCGCTTTTGTTTTGTCGGCCCCGAGGGCCGGGACGGCCCCCCGGAGGCCGAGAAGAGCGAAAACCCTCCCGTCAGGATCTTGGGCCCGCCCTTCATCATGAGCCGTTTTTGTTGACGGCCCCGAGGGCCGGGACGGGCCCCCCGGAGGCCGAGAAGAGCGAAAACCCTCCCGTCATGATCCTGGGCCCGCTCTTCATCCTGAGCCGTTTCTGTTTTGTCGGCCCCGAGGGCCGGGACGGCCCCCCGGAGGCCGAGAAGAGCGAAAACCCTCCCGTCAGGATCTTGGGCCCGCCCTTCATCCTGGGTCGTTTGTTTTCTCGGCCCCGAGGGCCGGGACGGCCCCCCGGAGGCCGAGAAGAGCGAAAAACCCTCCCGTCAGGATCTGTCCATGTTGCCCGAGGGGGCCCGGGTCTCTCGGCTCTCTGGGCCCTTAAGGCCCTCGGCGGCGGGGCCCTCTCGGGGAGCGCCCCCCCGCGCGTGCGGCGCGAGGGCCGGCCCGACAGGGGAGCGGAGGGCTCCCGCGCCCCGAGGTGCGGCACGGGCCTGGGCAGACGGTCGGCCAGGCGGTCAAAACGTCTATGCTTGTGGACGCCACGACAGTGGACACTCTTGAAGGGGCCCTGGGACACACGAATCAATACACACAAACTGTTGCCCCCCACTTCCCATATTTTCCAATATTTTCGGGGGAATCGACGATGAATTGTGTCTGTGTGTTCCTGAACTCTAACAATCCGGTCATGGAATTAAATATATGTTTAATATGTGTAAAACATTCTCTAAAAAAGTTGCAATCCTGCTTTTTTTCATGCTGAAAACATGTCTGAAACATCTTTCAGACATCTGGAAATTATTTGGCAGCATGCTTCCCCTCCATGAATGGATTTCCACAAGCCTATGAAGGACGGGAGGCAAAAAAGCAAGACCCTTGGACCCGTATCTCCTCGCGTTTTGAACAAAAATCACGGCCGGAGGTTGTTCGCTATTTTGCTCGGCCTCCGGGGGCCCTTCCCGGGCCTCGGGACCGTCAAAAACAACTCAGGATGAAAAACCTGTCCCCGGGCACGGATCCAGACCTCTAGAGGTCGACGTTGTGAAAAATCACGACGTCGGGGTTCTGGGGAGGCCGAAGTTGGGATTTTGGCTAGGTCGGGCATGTCCCCCTGCAGGCGGACTTTGGACAAAAAATTAAAGATACTAAAAACATACACCAAAATGATAAAACAGCTAGTCGACAAAATCATCCCCGGACTATTTTCTTACTATTTTTGAATATGCCCCCTGTAGAGGGACAGGCCCGACTTTACCGAAACTGGGATTTTGGGGCGGCAGGCAACCCGTGAGAACGGCAAAAAGGATGGGCCGCGGAGCCAGGGACACCAGGGCACCCTGGATGAAGGTGTCGCGCCCTTACTCGGCGCGTTGACTGTACGGGAGCGGCGCTGCCACGGCTCGAAGCATCGCCCGGCGCTCGAAACGCCTGGCCCAACATGGGACGATTCGGAAAAGAAAAATCACCACCTGATCAAATTCGATTAAACGCCACTTCACCGGATTAGGCCGGATTGAGCCCAGGATTAAGCCGGATGAAGGGGGGCTAGGTCGAACTAGGCCGGATCAGCCCAGATTAAGCCAGTTATCGACCGCGAACATACCAGCGCCGAGACATAATTAAGCCTCCCAGGAGTTGCACTTTAGGAGGAGGGTATAAGGAGCCAGGACAAGGACAAAATCGGACTTTCGGGAATCTCTGAGATCCAGCGGTTCTTGAGAACGTGTCGGGCGCCGCGGCCTTCACAGAACGTTCAGGAACGCGCCGAGAGCGTTACAGGGCGCTCTGGAAGGATTTACCCTTGTCCTAGCCTTCAGTCGGGCGTGTCCCCCTACAGGGGGATCTTGGACGAAAAATGAAATAGAAACAAAAACAAACATATTCAAACATAGTTATTAAAAAGCATGGTGCCTAGACTATGTTTTGACTATTTCTGAACTATCCTCCTGTAGATGGGCAGGCCCGACTTAATCCTAGCCCCGGACGAGGGTAGGAAGCAACTCCTGGGAAAGCTTCGTGAGAACGATGAGGGCCGATTGAGCCAGAAAGAGGCGCCATTCGGCCGACCGAGCCCAAATCGGGCTCAGGATTGAGCCAAATCAAACCGGGTTCAGCGGGATGCACCTCGAGTACGCGGGATTCGGCGAGAGTGGGCTGCTTGCAACCACGGGTACAGTCGAAACGCTGTCAGAAGGAACCCTAAATAAGGAACGAGGCCGCTTGTTCCATAAGTAGACCGTCGACTTCCCACAGAAACCTCGGGACAAACCGAGACAGAGTGCAAAACAATTCAGGGACACTGAGCCCCTCTCCAACGTTAAAGGGCTCCTGCTTCAGCGGCCCGACTGTATACCAGCGCCGATGCCGACTTCGCCCTTCCAGGAGCTCCATCCCGAAGCGCGCGCTCGTGTCCGCTCCTCGGCGGGCCCGCGGTGGCGGCTGGAACTCTCTCGACGCTGCACGGGGCTGCCTCGCAGCACAGCGGCCTCGCTCCTGGCGGAAGTGTCCCCAGGTCACCAGACGCACTCCCGAACCACGGGCGCGGCACTCGTGGTCCCTCTCATTAGAATGGCCCAGAGCGGGGTGCAGCTGAAAGGGGGCAGTGCAACAGATGTGGGGCAAGTGTGTTGCAAGTGTATTGCGCCAGCGACTTGTATTGCGTTGTATTGCTGCGGATGTGTTGCGCGCGAGGAACCAGAAATGCATTTGCGGCCCGGACTGCGTTGCACGCCCCAAATCTATTGCGAGCCGCGAGTCTATTGCACCGCCCCCGTGTAGCTGGACCCATCTTGGGTCAACCAGATCTAAGCTTGTCAGCTACCTCCCCGTCCCTGCAGAGGTCGAGCAGGCGCCTGGCAGATGCCACTGCTCCCCGCGTCCGTGCCACAGGTGGTGCTGTTGTCGTCGCCCCTGGCAGGCTGAAGGCAGGATGGGGGGCGCCACAAGAGGTCGCGATCCGGCAGGAGGACACGCACTTGACCGCTCTGTCAATTGCCACTGGCCTATTCTGGCTCCTACTACTGGGTGCATGCATGTCATCTCTTTCTATGTATATATGTACCTTGTGTCACGTTCTTTCTTTTTTTCTTGTTCTCTCTCTCTCTCTCTTTCCCCAGACCCCCGACTCCGTGATTTCTTCATTACGTCGACCCCTGGAGGTCTCGGCCCACTCCCTGGAACCGATGTTTCATCCTGAGTCGTTTCCGACGGTCCCGAGGAGGTAAGGGCCCCGAAGGGCCGAACATAGCAAACCACTGCCGTCATGTTTCTTTCGTTACCCGAGGGGTCTGGGCTCTCTCGGCGCCTGGCGACACCCTGGTAGCTGTTTCAAATTGGGCGTCCACTATCCGCCCCTGCTCAGACAGGGCAGTGCGCCCGTCTTGGCGGCACATCGAGGCAGGCCTTCTGCTTGCCGCCTCTTCTGGTCCTGGCTCAGGGGTCGCTCGTTTGTGCCTCGCTTCTGGAAGATAGGAGGGCCTCAGGGGCTCCACATGTACAGGGGATGCCTGCTGCCTGAGTATTGCCTGCGGGAATATGGTATAACCTAAAGTCGGCGTTCGGAATTCCTCACCGAGCGCGCGAGTGGGCGGCACCGGAGGCACCGCCCAGGGGTGTGCGGCAGGGTTGGGGTGAAGCTTCGATCGGGTGTAAGGAAGGGCGGGGGTGAAGCTCCGATCCGAGAAATCGATGCGGACCTCTGGAAATCAATGCTCATGCTCTTTCGATTAGCCTGAACCCCCAGCGAAAGCCTACGGTCAGGAGTTTTTGGATCGCGTGTCGCCACGGCGGCTCTGGCGATGCGCTATGCCCTAAGTTTGAATAGCGTGTCGCTCCTCCCCGCGGAACGGGAAGACTGGAACAGCTCGGCACATTGACGCCTGGGGGGCGGGAAGTGGGTACCTTGGCACGTGGGAACGTGGTGGCCAGAACCGGCGGAGCGACACGCTATCCAACAATTTCCATCCGTATCCCCGGACCAAAACCTGCTAGGAGCGTGTTTTGTTCAGACTCCGGCAAATTCGCTTGCATGGGCGGGGTGGAGGCTGAACCTGAAGCAAGCCGCCGACGACTTGCACGTGCGGCGAAACCACGCAAGTCGAAAGGCACTTGCACGCTAGCATTCGTGTGAAGAAGGGCGAGGGGGACCTTGAGATCCGATGTCGTAATTTTTTAAATGCGGGGTCCCCGGAAGTCTCGACCCATTCCTGAGGGCCAGTTTTTCATCCTGAGTCGTCTTTTGACGGTCCCGAGGCCCGGCGAGGGCCCTCAGGGGCCAAATTTTGCGATAAAAACCTCCGTCTTGTTTTTTTCAATACGTTGGATCTCTGGGAAGGGGGGGGGGGGCGGGGGGGGCGAGCGCCATGCAAGTAGACTTGCCCGAATCTACAAAACCAGCCTCGAAACACCTGTCCCTGGAGCAGGCCATGAAGCCCGCCCTGGCGAGCCCCTCGAGCTGCGTGTCCGGCCGCGGAGGCGAGAGCCGAAACAAAAAACGCTCGAAGAGGCCCCCCGGACGCGACGGCGTCGACGGCGTCGACGCCCCGCTCTCCTCCCTGGCGTCTCGCCGCCCTCGCCTCTCCCTTGCGCTCTGCTCGCTGGGGCCTCCTAGCGGCGCCTCCGGCGCCGCCCTTGGCGCGCTCCGCGCGCCAGGGAGGAGGGTCCAGCGCCGATCGGAGAAATCCGCGCCGACCTCCGAGTGTTTATGTTTATGTCATTTTTCGTTCCCCGATACTCGGCGTTTCGACCTTGGGCGGAAGGGGGGGGTGGAGAGGGCGGGGGTCTGACTCCGGTCCTCTGCTTCACGCGACGGTTTGCAACAGTGCGTCATATGAGGGGTGGCCCCACTTGCATGAAACAGGCACCAAAAACAGCCAAGATCTATTCCATGAGGGAGGGGTGGGGGGAGGGCGAGGACCCGCGCCGATCGGCAAAACGATGAATAAGAAAACGATCACTAAGCAGCTGCAAAAACATCAACTGTTTAAGCTCCGCGCGGGTTTCTTGGAATCCCGCTGGGCCCCCCCTGGCGAGCTCTCCTCCAGCGCCGCCCCTGGCGCGCTCCCCTCCGGCGCCGTCTCTGGCGCGCTCTGCGCGCCGGGGAGTGGGGTCCAACGCCGATCCAAGATACCCGCGCGGAGCTTCAACAGTTTACGAGCCAACACGAACACGATTGCCCTTGTCTGTCCTGTCCGCCTGCCAGCGTCCCTGAGTCGTCACCCTGAAACTCAAAAGTGACGGCCGCCGAAGACGAAGAAGCGGAGGAGGACGCCAGGGAGAAAGGAGGTAACGGCGCGTGCATCACCCATGGTCCAACCGACCCTTTATCTAACCCGGTCTGGCACAACGACAATCAAAGAGAGGCAGCCAATTTATGCTTATGCAGCTGTTTACTTTTCGACGGTTGCCCAGCCGACCGCGGCAACTGCAGGGCAGGCGACTCTTGCCTCCACTCGGCAACGTCCGCAGGCGACACCGAGAGCGCATCCTGGCCAACATGGGCAGGGGCTGTGGTCGGTATGCGTCCCCACCCTTTCCGCCTCCGATGCTCCCCTGGGCCCATCCCGAATTTTTCTGTGGGCGGCCCCTGGCCCGGACGAGGCCCCCCCGCATGCTCACGACGCGAAGGAGTCTGGCAGGTCTGCGCCGGATCCGATCGCGAAATCGGATCGGATCGAGAGCGGATCGAATCGCCAACGAATCGTCCCGATTCAGCTCGGTATCGCATCGCCGCGCCCCGCATCCGGCTGGCCCTGGCCGGTGCCGGTGAACAGAGCTGGATCACATCGAACTGGAGTCGCGGCCGCAGCCGGCGAATCGAATCGCATCGAATCGGATCGTAGGCAGCGCTGGCCTGGGCTACCGGGTAGCACATCGACCCCTGCGGAGCTGCTCTGGGGACGCGTCCCTGGCACGACGCCGACGCGGATCTCCGGCAGTGGTCCGACGAAGAGCCTATTCTCGCCAAGGGGCCGGCACAGGCGAACTCATACGCCCCGAACCCTCGGACCTTGAAGCTCAGCTCAACCCACGAATCTCGGACCTCTCGTTGCGGATGCCATGACAATGGACATTCTAACAATCCTATCATTGAATGCAAGATGTGTTTAAGATGTGCAAAACATGTTCTAAAACTGTTTCAAACATGGTTTTAATATCTAAAACATGTTTTAGACATCTGGAAATCATTTGGCAACATGCTTCCTCTCCATTGATCGTCCTCCAAAAACCTTTCGTGACTCGTGACCAAAAGAGGAAACACTATCCCGATCTCAAACTCGCTGATTGACCGATGGTTCGAGGGTCGAGTAAATATATTTCGGGGCATGGTTTGCGGTCGCCGTGGCTCCCTGCGCAGAAAAAGCGCTGCCCCGAAATCTCTCTCTCTCTCTCTCCCTGTCTCTCTTTCTCTCTCCACCCCCCAAATCGCCAGGAGCCTGCGTGGTGTTTTAGCGCTCGCGTGTTTTTTGGGGGGTATCGGGGAATTGTTGGAAGGCCTCCAGCAATTCCTCCAACAATGCCCCGATCCCGCGCCGAGATCACCGAGCCCCCTCCTTCCGTCCGAGCCGAGACCACCAGCTTCAAAACCGAAGCTGGCGATCCCGGCTCGGACGGACGTGCGGGGGGACACCGACACCGGGGGCTCGGGAAACCACCAAAAGGGGGACCGATGCCGCTCCTCCCCGGATCCTCGCCCTGGGGGGGCGTCCTGACCACAATCTCGAGGCGTATCCAGCGGTGGCGACGAGGGCCTCCCAGGGGGAAAAAAAGGGGGGAACGAGGCAAAGGCATCGGTGTCGATGCCTGTTCCTCCTCTGAGAATCAGCCCCCTTGCCGGCGGCGAGCCTGGGGGGGAAGTGAGAATGGGCGGGCCATCTTGGAAGGCTCGGAAAGCCTCTGACATTCTGAAAAGTTGTCAGGGCCCTCCTGGCCCTCCCCGAAGACACCGAAAACCTCTCAGAAGGCCGCAGGGCTTCTGAGAAGCCCGGCCGCCATGTGAGAAGGCCTCCTTCTTTTGACTTCCCCCCAAGCGCGCCGCCGAACTTGGTTCTTGGATCATAACTCGGGTCTCCCGCGGCCGTTCGGGACGATCCGGGCACCCTCGGAACGCCCTCGGCGAGGCGCAGCTGCTGGCACGCATCCTGAAACTAGACAACGGCCGAGGTCCGTCGAGAACCTTCTCTCCGGGGCGCGCAAACATGGATTAGCGATCCATGGATTTGGCGCGCGGTCGCCAAATCTATGAATCGGGGGAGGTGCTCTCCCCAAGATGCAGCCGGTGCCGCCTCGCTTGGCAGCGGCAATCCGCGATTTCCCATGGAAACGGGACCCGTTGCTAATCCACGCCCCCTCTGATCCATGTTTGCGATCGCCTGATTCTCGCTTCCCCCCGTCGCTCGCCGCCGACCTAGCTCGTGTCCCCCGCGCCTCGCGGCGCGCCCGAGGCGCCAACATGTGTACAAAGCAGGGCGCCCAGCGGCCGGACCATCACCAGCTGCATGCAACAGATCTCGTAGCCCCCCCCCATATCCTCCCCCCTCCTCGCTCTCCTCCTCCTCCTCCTCCGCCTCCTCCTCCTCCTCCTCCTCCTTCTCCTCCTCCTCCTCCTCCTCCTCCTCCTCCTCCTCCTCCTCCTCCTCCTCCTCCTCCTCCTCCTCCTCCTCCTCCTCCCCCTCCCCCCTCCTTTCATCCACGACGAGGGGCGCAAGATCAGGAGTGGCCGCGGCCCGGGAGGGGGCCCTGGCTCCGCGATGTATATATATATAGATACACATATACATGTATACATCTCTCTATATGTGTATATATATATATATACAGGGAGGTTGAAACAACAAGGAATTCTGCAAACAAGGAATTTCGAATTCTTGGTTGTCGCGTAGAGGTCCCGAAGAGAGGCAAAGAGCAAAACT